TCTATTTTTCATTATCGATATTTCTCCTATGACTTATGGATAAGAAAATCGAGATTTTTTATATATCTTCATTGGAGTGAAATTTCATTTGATAAATCGATAACTTCTCACCGCCATCATTCCACTTTGTGATACTTGTCTGTACTTCGAAAGACTTCGATGATACTTTCAGTGACTTTGGACATACTTCAAGTACCTAGTTTTATTTTTGACAATACTTTGTAGATACTTGATCGTACTTGAGAGCTACTTTTTCATACTTTGAAGATACTTAAAACTACTTTCACTGTACTTTGGAGCTACTTTTGTCGTAATTTAAGCTACTTGGAGCTACTTTTGTTATACTTTAAGCTACTTGAAGTTACTTTTGGATTTTGATCTACTTTCATACTTGAAGTCCGCCGTTTCCCCCTTGCTCTCAATGCTTGTGGGATATGACTCATTGAATGAATCACAGACGTCACTGATTTTTCCTTAAAGAAAAAAATTCTGAAAAGGACATAATTTCTCAAGAATTCTAAGTGTCAATTATAGATTGACGTGCAAGTCCATTTTTTAGTGAAAATTTCGCAGCAGAAAATGGTTTGTGCATGACACTGTTTCTTGATGTGTCATTTTTTGCCGATATTAATGGGCGAGACCATTATCACATCACTCTGTATATGGAATAGTAAGCAATATGTGAAATGGTTAGCAAAAAAGATACATTTTTCATGTTTCGTGTAAATAAAAGAGCATCTATTGAAAATCGATTCATTTGTTTAAAAGCAACAAGAAATATTTGTCTGTATTCCACCGTTATTTCTTTCTCTAGAAAGAAGCTTTCTGTTATGAGGCATTAGCTGCATTTCTTCTCCGTGTATTATAGAAAAGTTCATGTTTGTTTACAATATCACTCGAAACAGTTCCGGTTAGGTGTACAATGATCTATTTGTCCGTAAAAATCCATCTCAAGTTGAACAAGTTAAGACAGCCGACTAGTTTGAGTATACATAATCTCATAAACTAAAATGGAACGAGTTCTTGTTATTCTCGCCAATTCTCTAGTATAATATGTTCACATAATTGTTAAACAATATACTTACCGAATATAACAAAGGAAACAACCGATCAAACTCATCAATTAAAACATGAATAGTTTCAATTGTTTCATTATCCAAAGCAGTTGATTCAGCTAAACCCATCGCGAAGACCAAAAGTTTCAGATGTTGATAGTATTGTTCGGGAAGAATTGATTTGAAATACCTTAACAAAATTATTAATTAAGTTTTCACCTGACAAAGCTAATTTCCACACGAAAAACTGAACCTATCGTCTATTCAGATTCAAGATCGATATCTATACAGTTTTGTTTCATTATGATTCTATGTATTTTCGAAAAATGAGTTAACATGATTGGTTTTTACTGTGTTCTTGGAAATATATTATCAAACTGCTCTTTTTGTCCGATTTAACGACTATTTGATGATGATGGTAACAATAAAGATAAGAGTAAATCATACACATTAAAGTACTTACTGGTAACCAAATAACAATGTCAATCTGTATTCATTTCCTTTGTACGTCTTGAAAAATCTTAGCTGCGATGGTAAATGATATATAGTGGTTGGATATTGAATAGTATCCAACTTAGCTTCGGCTACATCTAAATTCTTATGTATAAAATATAATTCTAGACGACTTGTGAACCACATTTTCATCATACGTTTCTACGATAACAATAAGAAGAAGAAATTTTACAATATTTAACCATTACAAATGATTTTGTATTCAATTGATTAATCATTATTTTAAGACGAATGAATTTTATTAGTTGTTGCTTAGACTGAGAAAAGGAATACTTACAAAAGTACCGGAATAGACAGTATGCAGAGAGTCAGTTACAAATGACGGGCCAATATTAAAATATGACAAGTGACGCAATTGACAGGGACCAAGACGGCCATATGAAGGATCTATTTCATTCGATTTTAATTGTCTTTTTCTCTATTTAAATAACGAAAAGAAAATTTTGCAATCATAATGAAGTATTAGTTACTTGTGATAGTTTGGTCATGCACAGATCATATAGAGTATTATTTCTATATTTGATATTTTCGTTTTTATTTCGTATAAAAACGCGTGTACTACCATCTCGAACTGGAACGGATGTTCCTAAAATAGAATCAAAATTAATGATGTCTTAAACAAATAGTTTCGTTCGCTAGCGTCACGAGTTAAGATGTGTAAAAAGTCAATATCTCTCAGCTTCTGAATTTTGTCCATTTACTATTTACCGTTTTGTTGTCATTTTAATTATCTTCGCTATTCTCACACTGTGACCCTTCAAGACTCTTTTTTGAATAACTTATCATCGAAAAAAATAACACAAGTTCTATTACACAATAATGTCACAGCTTTTTTCCAAGTACCTCTGTTCAAGTTCAATTGTGATAGATTAAGTTATCAAAATGAAAAAATAATTACTCTCCTAATTATGAGTAACAAGAAATATGACAGTACCTCGAATAGTGCATTGAACACAACTGTAGAAACCAGAGTGCTCTTTCAAGTTCATTAAAAGTGCAGCTGCTGGTTTGTCAAGTGCTGCAGCAATGAGATAAGCGTGTACTTTGACAAAGCTAGTATTTAAACTTGGAGGAGATATGTGAAAGCCTAATNTTTTTTTACTAGTAAATGCCCGATTTAATACACACTTCCTGGAACTTTATGTAAAAAAATAGCATATTCGTAATCAACACAAAAAACTGACTTAGATCAGATGTATTTCCAAGGTCTCCAATGACTTTCATTCGATGGCTGTTATCATGCCTGGGTTCCCCATCAGCCATAGCGAAAAACAATGAAAGTCATTGGAGACCTTGGAAATACATCTGATCTAAGTCAGTTTCTTGTGTTGATTACGAATATGCTATTTTTTTACATAAAGTTCCAGGAAGTGTGTATTAAATCGGGCATTTACTAGTAAAAAAACTCGATTTTTCCACAGATTCCGGGTGTATAAGCCAAGCAAATGCTTGGTTCACTTTCTTTTCTTCATAAAACGTATCTATTAGACAGAAAGAAGAAATTTGAAAGCACTAGATCAATTTCCAAAGTGGTTCACGATCCTTTTATAGTCAAAATGCTGAAAATTGGGCTCTTTTGAGGGTCTTTCTCCCCACTATTTAGGGTAGGGGTATGCCTAGCTTATTTTCTTTGTCCATGAAAATGTATCCAAACGAAAGCTGCATATACTAGGAAATTTTTGAGGTGGTTCGAAGCCTTGACGTTGATCAATTCATGTATGATTTTATATTCGCATACACATCAATGTAGGTGTCATTAGAATATGATCGGTCGTTAAAAAATGTCTTATTTCTCGGCCAGTTTTTAATAAAAACCACATTTTTCTGATCAGTTCGGCGAGCTCTATCAGATACAAACGAAAAAAATAAGGATTAAAGATGAAAAATTTTTTAGGTTCCCTGGGGGGACCCCAGGGCGCGAAAAAATGAAAGTCAACTTTCCGGCGTTTTTACCCGCCTAAAAGGTACAGGGTACAGGCCTGATTAAAATACAATCGGAATCTGGTCGAACTCTCGTGAACGGATTTCTAATGAAACCGCCACTCATCCTTTCGTGAATACTTTGCAAGCTTGAATGAATGTTATTATCGGTAATGCATATGTATTAAGTTTCCGTAAATCTGCGGATACAGTTTGAGTTAAATCCATGAAATCTAATGAAGAAAATAGTTCACTAATGATACCATCTTGTGTAGCTAATCTGTAAAATACGTTGGCAGAATCATCCTTTTCAATTATTTCAATTATTTTGTAAGGTAAAACAATAGGTGCCGTGTTTGAACGATCGGCATCTGATATTTTCAAACCAACAATATCGTTTAATTCAAAAGATTTTCGTTTTTTCAATGCTCGTTCATAAGTTTTCAGCTGTCGTTCTAGGATCAATATCAATGTATTTCAAAATCCTGAATCAACTACAATTTGTTCCAAAAATTCGTATCCGCTGTATAAGATAACTTTTTTCAGCTTCATCTCGACTGCGTTTGTGTCCAGTTGTTACGAATTGTCTGTTATAGAAATAAAAGACGCATACTGATTAAGATTTTTAAAAAAAAGTAGCATTCCAGTTCTACGAACAAATGGTGCAGCAGCACTTATTTTTTCAAGAAAAGAATCAGCTAATTCTTCTTCGTTAATAATTGAATCACTGGTTGCGGATGTCTTGTGCAATTCTAACCAAAATTCATGATCAATTTTCAATGACTGTCCGAAAACCACTTCATCTCGTGTTTTCTTTGTACTCTGTGGGGTACAATTGTTAATTGCTAACATCACAGGGCCTTTATACAAGAAACGGAAATGTTTGATGTTGTAAATAAAAGTTTTATTTCAAGATGTTTCCTCTTTCCATTCCTCATTTACCTAAACCACTTCGCCAATCAGAAGTATCATTTACATCTAACCATTTGCCTAACATGTGTTGAACGACAGCATTGGCTCTTTCCACTAGTCCTTGACTTTGTGGATGTCTCGCACGTCCATTGATGATTAATAAATCTGGCCAATTATTTTTCAAATTCAAGATTACGTTCGCCCTTGAAAAATTTCGCAATAGAAATCAAATCATGTCATTGTTCTTACACGAATTCTTTCCCATTATCTGATGGTAATATTTTAGGTGGACCAGAGGCATGGAATATATTTTTCAAATGAAAAGCAACGCCACTAGCTTCTTTCGATTTCAACGGAAATAACCAACTAAATTTTGTGAAATGATCTTTACAATGCATTATGAAAGTGAATCCATCATACGCTGTCGGCCTGTCCACGGTGAAGGGTGATTCCGTCACGCTGTTTTAAATGAACGGAAAACGATTTATAATTGTCCCATATCAGATTTTGTTAGGCACAATTAACTGTCCAAAATCATGAGGTCCTGCGATCCCAGAGATACGTTCCCTATAAATAATTTAAAAAATACGGCGTGACGGAATCACGTTTTGCGTGGACAGGCCGCTGTACTTCTCATGCCAATCAAATCGACTTGCATTCGTGTTAAAAAGCCTATAGAAACAAGTGGTTTGCCAACTGGTGGTTTATGAAATACCCGTCGAACGTGACAAACGTCACACATATTAATGAATATGTCCAAGCAGACAAGGATTTGGAAAAACGCGTTTTCACGCGTCAATTGCGATATTTCAAGCGTTTAAACGTGTGAGTGGTGTGCACTTGTGAAATCGTTTAAAATGTCTCTTTGTGAAGGTGAAATCGAGGAAAACTCTCACAGAGACTATTTATGAAAGTGAAAACGTCTAGAATGTTCATTTTGAAAGCATATTAACGCTGAAGTTGTCTTGCATGCGTGTTTTCTGTGTAAAAGTGTTAAGACTATGCGTTTTTTATAAATAAAAAGTTGTACGAGTCTTAAGAAACAAATTATCAGTGTATAAACGGTTGTTCAACGTGTTACTATGTGGTGTTCTTGATAATTTTTTTCTTCTGCTTTTTATCTCTAAAAGCTCTATAGGAAATCTGTGCAATCTGATAGAAAGTATCGTTTCCAATAAAGAGATATTTAGCTCGGTTTTTATGTAAAATTTGTCTTCGTTTTCATACTCCAGAAAATATAAGAAAACAAATTTAAGTATAAAAACACGCATCGTTATGTAAAATTTGTACCGGTTAAACCGATATTACAAGAAGCTGGTTCATTTCCTAGCAGAAATCTAGAAGTTAAATCGTTTTTACGTTAATTTTTTTATTATCATTCGATTAATCACGTGATGAAACGTGTGTAATATGGATTTTCCTAACAATTATATGGCATGATTTTAACTGTGTTTAAACTATTCAAATGTCGATTATTTATACATGTAATCAACGTAAAAATTGATTTCATATGAAACACATAATCAACAAGTTTCGTACGAATAAATGTGATTTGAAAAGATAAATTAGCTTAATGAGATGAAGGATGATATATCTAAAACTACGAGCCTTTCTTTTTAATAACAAAGGGCGTATACAAAAGCCTGTTTAAGTACTTTCTACTGTGTTGGGATATTGAAAAAAAATGAAAAGTGTTACCCACTCTACTATATGCAATTTTCACATCGATATCATGAACATCAATTGTTTTAAGTTCAGGTGGTTTTGTAAGTTGTCCCCAAAAGATAAATGGATTAACGATACATTTCTTCTTGAATGTTAAAGAATCCCAGCGGTTGATATGTACTAGATGAATTGTCACAGAACGTTTCTGTTTCGAATCATGGACAATGGCCATTACAAACCCACAACTCAATTCGTTGGAACCATTTTTGAACAGTATACATGAATCACTATTTTTTGCGACTGAGTTTGAATCATATATTGAAAACTGCACTTTGTTTTTCCAGCAAGTCTTGTACAAAGTAAAGTTAAAAATTGGAAGATTGCTTAGATGAACCATAACAATGTGATCATTCGGTAATTCTAATTTCTTTGCAAGACGAAAATTCTCATTTGCCTCCATATTGTTTTGTTTCGGAAGTGCTTGTCGTTTTGAAGAGAAAAGACGACGGACAAATAGTTTGAGAGACGAGTTGAAACTATCATTATTAGATTCAGCTGTGGCACGTTGTACAAGATTAATATTATTTACTAGCTCAGTAACGATTAAATTTGGGCCATTAACGGATTGAACGATACAACCTGAAGTTATGCACATGAAATTATGCCTAATTAATAGAATACATTCTTGGTTTTTCAAACATACCGACAACACTTTCAAAATTAAATGTAGAATAATTCTGCATAGGACCGAAGTCTCTCAATGTTTGCGGGATATGACTCATTGAATGAACCACAGACGTCACTGATTTTTCCTTAAAGAAAAAATGTTGAAAAGGACATCATTTCTCAAGAATTCTAAGTGTCAATTGTAGATTGATGTGCAAGTTTATTTTTTAGTGAAAATTTCGCAGCAGAAAACGGTATGTGCATGACACTGTTTCTTGAAGTGTCATTTTTTGTCGATATTAATGGGCAAGACCATTATCACATCACTCTGTATATGGGATAGTAAGCAATATGTGAAAGTGTTAGCAAAAAAGATACATTTTTCATGTTTCGTGCAGATAAAAGAGCATCTATTGAAAATCGATTCATTTGTTTAAAAGTAACAAGAGATATTTGTCTGTATTCCACCGTTATTTCTTTCTCTAGAAAGAAGCTTTCTGCTATAAGGCATTAGCTGCATTTTTTCTCCGTGTATTATAGAAAAGTTCGTGTTTGTTTACAATATCACTCGAAATAGTTTCCGTTGGGTGTACAATGATCTATTTGTCCGTAAAAATCCATCTCAATTTGAACAAGTTAAGACAGCCGACTAGTTTGAGTATACATAATCTCATAAACTAAAATGGAACGAGTTCTTGTTATTCTCACCAATTCTTTAGTATAATATGTTCACATAATTGTTAAACGGTATACTTACCGAATATAACAAAGGAAACAGCCGATCAAACTCATCAATTAAAACATGAATAGTTTCAATTGTTTCATTATCCAAAACAGTTGATTCAGCTAAACCCATCGCGAAGGCCAAAAGTTTCAGATGTTGATAGTATTGTTCGGGAAGAATTGATTTGAAATACCTTAACAAAATTATTAATTTAAGTTTTCACCTGACAAAACTAATTTCCACACACAAAATTGAACCTATCGTCTATTTCAGATTCAAGATCGATATCTATACAGTTTTGTTTCATTATGATTCTATATATTTTCGAAAAATGAGTTAACATGATTGGTTTTTACTGTGTCCTTGGAAATATATTATCAAACTGCTCTTTTTGTTCGATTTAACGACTATTTGATGATGATGGTAACAATAAAGATAAGAGTAAATCATACACATTAAAGTACTTACTGGTAACCAAATAACAATGTCAATCTGTATTCATTTCCTTTGTACGTCTTGAAAAATCTTAGCTGCGATGGTAAATGATATGTGGTGGTTGGATATTGAATAGTGTCCAACTTATCTTCGACTACATTCAAATTCTTATGTATAGAATATAATTCTAGACGACTTGTGAACCACATTTCCATCATACGTTTCTACGATAACAATAAGAAGGAATTTTACAATATTTAAGCATTACAAATGATTTTGTATTCAATTGATTAATCATTATTTTAAGAAGAGTGAATTTTATTAGTTGTTGCTTAGACTGAGAAAAGGAATACTTACAAAAGTACCGGAGTAAACAGTATGCAGAGAGTCAGTTACAAATGACGAGCCAATATTAAAATATGACAAGTGACGCAATTGACAGGGACCAAGATGCCCATATGAAGGATCTATTTCATTCGATTTTAATTGTCTTTTTCTCTGTTTAAATAACGAAAAGAAATTTTTGCAATCATAATGAAGTATTAGTTACTTGTGATAGTTTGGTCATGCATAGATCATATAGGGTATTATTTCTATATTTGATATTTTCGTTTTTATTTCGTATAAAAACACGTGTACTGCCATCTCGAACTGGAACGGATGTTCCTAAAATAGAATCAAAATTAATGATGTCTTAAACAAATAGTTTCGTTCGCTAGCGTCATGAGTTAAGATGTGTAAAATGTCAATATCTCTCAGCTTCTGAATTTTGTCTATTTACTATTTACCGCTTTGTTGTCATTTTAATTACCTTCGCTATTCTCACACTGTGACTCTCCAAAACTCTTTTTTTGAATCAGTTATCATCGAAAAAAATAACACAAGTTCTATTAGACAATAATGCCACAGCTTTTTTCCAAGTACCTCTGTTAAAGTTCGATTGTGATAGATTAAGTTATCAAAATGAAAAAATAATTACTCTCCTAATTATGAGTGACAAGAAATATGACAGTACCTCGAATAGTGCATTGAACACAACTGTAGAAACCAGAGTGCTCTTTCAAGTTCATTACAAGTGCAGCTGCTGGTTTGTCGAGTGCTGCAGCAATGAGATAAGCGTGTACTTTGACAAAGCTAGTATTTAAACTTGGAGGAGATATGTGAAAGCCTAATTCCAGTTGATGTAATTCATATATCCAATCAGAGACAAAATCTTGAAAATGATCCTTTTTGGGTTTCGTCCCACCCATAGAGATAGAACAAATAATAATATTATCATTATTAAATCGAATCCTACGAGGTAGTTCATTGATTACCACGCAACATATCCAAATAGAACGACTGAACTTCTTCAACACTATTCCATCACTATTCAATAACAGAGTCACTATCTTCTTCGTTGGGTCCAGTTTTCGTTCTTGACATGCAATTGCTCGCCGCACACTACCATCTTTAACATCGGATATTTTCGAATGATTGCTATTTGATTCATCAATTAAATCGTTTCTATCCAGTATAGCTGTTATTTGTGGTAGAATTTTAAACGTACACAGTGTAGTTGGAACGGATGCAAAACCGGTGCTCGACTTACAATTTGCATTTTCACATTTTGATGTACTTGCTCCTTTAGTACCACATTCGGAACAGACAATATATTTCTTACTTTGTAATATATTCTCCTGATTAAACATCATATTTCGTTCAATAGAACGGAAATCAGTTGGTACATTCTTTATACCAAGAGATCTGAGCAAATCACATAGATCATTGATACATGATTTTGATAAGCTATGTCTGTGTCGAAATAAGGTAAGTGCGATTGATATTTCCTTCAGATTATATTCACTAGATTTGACATTATTATCGACGAAATTCTGTGCAATATTGTCTTGAACTTCATCATCAGTATTGTTTGAATACGAATGAACACTAGCCATATCGTTCATAGAATGCTCGAATGAAATTGAATCGCTACTAGATTGTTCGTTGCTTTGGTCTTGCATTAAAACATCATGTATTTTATTTGTTTGATCGTCGAATATATCGCTTTGATCACTGGTCATTCTTTAATCCTTTTATTTATTATTTATAAAACAAAAAATAATCGAAAGTGACTCACTCAACATCAATTGAATCATTAACATGTATAGATGATAAAAGATCGTTACGGACAGCACGATTATTGGCATTTCGTATGCGACGAACTGCCTTTTTAGCTGAACGTAGAGGAATATCATTTTGAGGTTTCATTTTAATAATCTGGAGTTTATAAATAAATATCTTTAAAATGAATTAATGTATATTATAGATCGATCAATCACCTCGGAATTTTTTTTTTGATATTCTCTTTGTTCTAAAATTTGATTATTTAGTTCGGATCTTTTTTTCATGGAGTATGAAAAGTAGACCATTTATTGGTTTCTGTCAATACTGATGTAAAGAATAAAATCAAACAAGTTCATGGATAAAAATGGATTCTTTTCATAGTTTTATTTAGATGCGGAATATTCATATAACAATTTATCCATCAAGATATTTATAAATAAGAAATTTGTTTTATTCTATTCGGATTCATAATAATAAGCTTCAAGGAAAATGAGCAGCTGTAATTGAAAGTATTAGTTTAATATCGAAATAAATGATTGAATATAACGTAAGTTATTTAACAATCAGATGATACATAGAGATGCAACAGGGAAAAAGCATTGATTGAAAATAAAGAATACAATCGACGGAATCGCCAATAACGGAAAGAAGTAACACTGCGAACAATTCAATTGAACATCTTCGGAACAAAAAGAAACAATTGAATGCCTTATTCAAATATAACTAATATTGATTATCATCACATGTACATATTTATTCATCATCCGCGGCTTCGTCGATATAATCATCAATAGCCACATGGCCAACACCGCTGTCATTTCCATTTTCACCATCACTTTCTTCTTCTTCAACATCGTCATCTTCATTATTGTCATCGTTTGACACATCGTCAATTGTTTCATTTCGTTCATCGGGATCAACATTCTCATCGTTTCCCATCATATCCAAATGTTGTTGATGATATTGACCACTCCTCCTTAACTTACTCCGAGCACTACGAATAGATGTACCAATGGCATTTTTCATATCGGACATGTGGAATGTTAGATTTGGATGTAGCATACGAACATAGGCTAAACTAACAAGTGAAAAGGCAACAATCGAAGAATTAAACAAACTCACTGTATATGTTTTCTAATTCTTCTTTTGAAATTCTTAAAATAGAACCACAGGCAGCTCGACTTCCAATTGTCGGATATAACAACCTGAATATTTTCAATGCGGACTTTTGTGGAGTCCGTGCTTGCACGGTAACAAGATCTGCGGGATCAAGACCTATTTCTGTACCAATATCATCCAATGTTCTTCCATCACCAGAAAATGCCTTGTTATCTTTCATCAGATTGAACAATTCCTCAAGCCACTCAACAACAGCAACCGTTGGTCGTGCTGAAGTAAAAATAAAACAATAATTATAAAATTCTGCTCAAGAAATTAACAGTGTGAAATGCGCTAACAGTATTCTTAGGAAAGCGTCGTCTAAAAAGTTGAAATCTATCGGTTGGAAATGTTGAGAAGTCTTGCTTTCTATATATTAACATGTTGACTGAATGCTAGTAGAAAGATAGAAGTTCGATCTTGAAGAACTAAATAGTCAATGAAACAAAAACCAACTAAATCAATCTCCTCAGAGAAAACAAAATTCGAAAGACAGATTAACAAATGCGCAGGATCAAGTCAACTATCGAAATCTTTTGTCTAAAAGTGAGGATAAATTTCCAACATACGTATTGAATTTGATGTCACATAATTCAATTGTGTTTTAAGAACTTGATAATCTTTTCTCCATTTCTCGACTAAATTCTTCTCTTGTGCATGTAATCGTTTTAATTCTCGATATTCCATTGATCCTTCGATTAATGAATTAGTCGGAAAGTCTATTGATCTTGAGCTATTTAAATCATGACGGGATAAAGAACTTGAGGACCGATGAGATGTTGCACTACAATTGAAGGCGGAGCTCAAGTTGGATCTACTTAAATAAATGTAGATCGCCCGATACGAGTAACGTAAAAGTGAAATTATCATTACCTTTGTTTATTAGTTGTTGAATTATTATTTGTCAATGTAAATGCTTGTACAACTCTACAAGTAAAAAGACATTCACTTATACAGTATTGTGAGAAATACAAACTGCGAATTTGAATATTCTACATTTCGATCAGTACTATCAGTTGATTTCAGATTTGCTGAATTTGTTCTATAGGAAAAAAACTCGATAAAAATAGAAATGATACATTCAAAATACATACTTCGTATTTCCTTTTGGCAATGTTGTTCTGGATGAACTAAGAGAATAATACATGATTGTATCATCTGAATGGCAAATATTTACCTGGTTCGTGAATGGAGAGAACTACTAGGTTTATCTGATAACTTCAACGGCTGAATTGCATTACGTTCAGTTGTTCCTTTCTGATTAGTTACTGCTGATAAACCTTTTGATGATGATGATGATGATGATGATGGAAATGAAATAGTGGATGCAGTTGGTGTAGGCGTAGATGTTGTAATATTATAATCATTCTCACGGTCAGATTCACCACTAGTCAGATTCTTTTTAGCATATTGAGAATCGTTTTTCGATGGTTTCTTTTGACTTTTAATTCCATGATGATTATCAACTGTATCAAAACTGTGGGCATCTTGTCGGATGGTTATATCTCCTCGAATACGTTTCGATTGTGATGCTGGAACATCTCGATTATTTTGTGTAGAAGAAATCATTCGCTTCATTAGTTTTGGATTAAAATTACTTGAGAATATTGTGTGAATGTAATAAGATAATCAATAAGAATCTATTCGTTTTGAATAAAATGGAAAATCGAACTTCAACAACGTAATGTGAAATAAAGAATAAATACCAGATTAAGTCGTAAAGAACAGGCGATACGTAAAGTAAAAAGTAAGGAGTGAACTGAAGTTTCTTTAATATTGTTCTTCTTATATACTACGAAGAAGACATCCAGGGAAAGCCAACTACAACAGACAATACGATCAGATGATACAAGCAAATGAATATAATTGTAATCATCTCGACCGCCGCCGCTTACGCTTGGACAGACAGTTTAGTATAACAACCGACTGACTGTGGTTAAACAAGAACTATTACGCCATACGCCGATAGAAACAAAAGAAATACTGAAAGCATACATGTCCACATTCATTTTCTTTCCTTGTGCATATACTTGTAGGATTTTTTTAATGCATCATGAGGATACATATCTACAATGGACCAATAGCAAACTAAACATTCAATCTCTATTCATATGCAATTTTATTAAATCATTTTAAATTCATATGGAGAATCTTTTGACTAAGTTAAAATATTTTATATGCATTATCATTATATGATTAAATTAAAAATACTAAACATAATGCATCTTAACATCCAATAAACTTGCGACATCACAACAGAATACGCTTGCTGATTAGATGTCTTCTATGTAGTTAAATTTTATTTAAAAAGACAGATATATTCAACACTGAATTTCCCCGTAGCACTTATCTTCTCCTTTGCGCATCCCTGTCGCCAGGGAAGCTTTGACTGTCACTACTTCTTAGAAAGAAATCTGTTCAGCAGTGACCACTAACCGGTACGGGCGGTTAGTGTTCAATGTATCCAGGTGGTCTGATACAAGGGTCTGGGGCCGATAACTGTTACCTTTGATGATTCCCTTTCACTGCCCCTGTGACTATCTGATCTTAGCAGACAACCTACAAACGGCTTGTGCACTATGCTGTCTTAGCCAGATGATTCTTGATGATCCTACTCGTTCCCAAGCAAGCGCTTCTTTGCATTCTCTCGATACAATCCTCCGCTTTTTTATTGTCAATGCCCAAGACTTGACTTAACTGATCTCTCAAGCCCGGTACTACTTCGCCACAAGCGCCTATAACAACAGGTAAAAATGTAACCCTCCAGCCAGCGATTTCCAGTTCACGTTGTAAATTGTCTCCCGGCGGATAAGGCGGGTTAAGTTTATCCTCCCAATTGCCATTGACACAGTAACGGTTCGTTTTGATCTCTATTTGCTTCCCTATACCAGTAAACCACGACACAGCGACTTCAAGAATAGTGACAGTTTTGCCACTCTTATCAAAGAGAACTATGTCAGGCTTATTATGCTTAATGAGTTTCTTAGTCTGTACCGGTTGATCCCAGTACAGCTTAATACTTTCATTTTCCATTACGGATTCCACTCGTTGTGAATAGTGCGGCGGTGCGAGATCATATTTTTCGCATATTCTGTAGTGGAGGCTCCTTCCTACAGAGTCATGGCGATCTATGTACAATGTCGGTAACCACTTCGAACAGCTCGTCGTCACATGTTCGATTGTCTCTCTAGGGTTACCGCAAGCTCGACAACGTAAGTTGCCTTGGCTTTTACAGCTAGGATGGGTTCTTGTGATGAGACAACCCTCTTGCGCTGCTGATACATTCCTCACCGCTATTGACGATAGTTTTCCGTCCTTTAGCCACGTAAAGGATGTGCTACCATCAATTTTGGCTTCATGTAATACACGCCACGCCAATACCTTTGCCCCCCATGAGCCGCGCCGGCTGATGTTGTTGCCTGCTCGTATCGACTCCACGACATAGCGCGCTAGTGTTCTTCCATCCGAATGCCGCACCCCGTTGATGTTGACGATAGATAGGGTCGGTTCCAGAGTTGCAACTATGCCATGTTTTACCATTACCTTTTCCGCATCACTAATCACACTTCGTTTCTTCCGTATATACATATCCGCAAAGAGACCGAGCGAGTTCCTCAGTTCTGATTTTGTGCAAAGGTACGCCCAGGAGTATATGGTCGCTTCCATAATGGAATCTTTGACGGACTTCAGACCACAACCCCCTAGCTCAGTTGATAGGTAGAGGCGTTCTACACAACCGGCTTTGTATCTCGATTTAAGTTCAACAAGGATCTTCCGAACTTTTATGTCAAATTTATTGCCGCGTTTTAGAACACTTGCATATGTCCCCTTACCTTTAATGATGTTACCTACTACGTAGGTTAAGGCAGGTATGAGTGTTGTATTATATGCATTTACTTTCTGTCTGAATGTTAGATCAGAATTCCATATTTGCCTTGCGGTTTTACAGCACCTCTCTTCCACCCGTTTCCAGGCTTCCGATTCTCCTATTCCAATTGCTTGCTCCATTCCCAGATACTTGTATAGAGATCCTCCGTCAATCGTAGGAAATCCTAAGATTTCAACAGTTGACGCAGTGTTCCCGTCTAATATCTGTTTCTTTCGTAACTTCCTTGGGATAAAATGGGCGACCGCGCATTTTTTTGTGTTCATTTTCATATTGATAGCTGTAGATATTGACTCAACCACTTTCAATAACTTAGTCAGACTTCCGGCAGAGCTTCCGTACAATTTCAGGTCATCCATATAAAGTAGATGTGATAACGTCAGCTATGTGTTTGTGAACTTTCCATGGGCAGTTGTGCATCCGCATTTTACGCTGTTTAACGCGTGACTAATGGGAGCCATCGCGATGCAGAAAAGCAAGGGACTGAAGCTGTCCCCCTGTAGAACTCCAGATCTTATTCGTAGATAGTTACTATGTAGAGTTCTTCCCCTAGGCGTTCGTGCTTCATATCGTACTCTCCATGAATTCATTAAGCTCTTTAGGAACTTAATTAAAGGTTTCGGAACTTGCAGTGCGTCTATCAGCCACTTGATGTAACTATGTGGTACACTGTCGAAAGCTTTTGCGTAATCGATCCATGCTACACTGATCGCCCTCTGTTTTTGATCTTGCGCGTCAGCGCTGAGAGTTTGATCTAGTGTAAGCGCATGGGTGCAGCCCCACACCCCCTCACGCAGTGCTATCTGCTCTTCGGGAAGAACATGTCGCTCTTTGACGTAGATGTTTAAGTACGCCGTGATGAAACCTGTTAGCATTTTATAGCACGTATTGAGACATGCTATGGGTCTGTAGTTAGCTGGGTCGTTAGTAGATCCAGCTTTATATATGAGTACGATTCTACCATCTGTTAGCCACCCTATCGGCAACGGTTTTCCCGTGGTTAGGTGGTAGCGGGCTAGTTGATATAGAACTCCGCAAGCTGATTTGAATGCTTTCCACCAGAACCCTTGTAACCCGTCGGGTCCGTGCGCTTTCCAGGGCTTGGCCTTCCTCACAACCGCATCCCACAGCTCTCGGCTTAAACGCTTTTTCAAGTCGTCTTCTTCCGGTTGCAGTGTGAGTGATTGCTTCCACGCTACAAGATCCCTATCCGTTGAGTTAAAGGGTTTTGATACCCCCACGATCTTTTGCCAGTAACCGCGAATGTTGTTAAGGTTCGGCGGCTCTTCTTTATCCTTTTTACCAGTGTCGTGCAATATCATTTTGGCTGGCATCCGGCGGACACGAGCGCGTCTTTCGTCTGCCTCCCGCAATTCAATTCGCGATCGTAGTAACCGAAGCCTATCCTTCAGTCGTTCTACGAGTGTTAGCGTTTGTGATGAATCACACAACGCTAGACTAGAGATTAAG